AACTGAGGCCTAACTAGCACAGAGTAGAGCAGAAGAATGACTTCTCGTGTCTTGCTCACAACACACCTGTTCATGCATCCCAGAATCATGTTTGCTTTTTTTGTAGCAGCATCACACTGCTGACTCGTATTCAGCTTGTGGTCTGCTATAACCCTTAGATCCCTTTGTGCCATACTCCTTCCTAGACAGTCGCTTCCCATTGTGTATGTGTGAAACTGATTGTTCCTTCCTAAGTGGAACACTTTGCATTTGTCTTTATTAAGCTTCATCCTGTTTACCTCTGACCATTTCTCCAAGTTGTCCAGATCATTTTGAATTATGACTCTATCCTCCAGAGCAGTGACAACCCCTCCCAGCTTGGTATCCTCTGCAAACTTAATAAGCGTACTTTCTATGCCAATATCTAAATCGTTGATGAACATGTTGAACAGAGCCAGTCCCAAAACAGACCCTTGTGGAACCCCACTTGTTATACCTTTGGAACCCCACTTGTTATACCTTTCCAGCAAGATTGAGAACCATTAATAACTACTCTCCGAGTACGGTTATCCAGCCAGTTATGCACCCACCTTATAGTAGCCCCATCTAAGCTGCATTTGCCTAGTTTATTGATAAGAACATCATGCGAGACCGTATCAAAGGCCTTACTAAAGTCTAGGTATACCACATTCACCACTGCTCCCTTATCCGCAAGACTCGATATCCTATCAAAGAAAGCTATCAAATTGGTTTGACATGATTTGTTCTTTACAAATGCATGCTGGCTATTCCCTATCACCTTGCCACCTTCCAAGTGTTTATAGATGATTTCCTTAATTACTTGCTCCATTATCTTCCCTGCACAGAAGTTAAACTGGTCCATAGTTTCCTGGGTTGTTCTTATTTCCCTTTTTATAAACGGGCACTTTATTTGCCCTTTTCCAGTCTTTTGGAATCTCTCCTGTCTCCTATGATTTTCCAAGGATGATAGCTAGAGGCTCAGATACTTCTTCTATGAGCTCCTTGAGATAGTTGAGCTATCTTGATTTAGGAATAACTTAGAATGGCCTTGGAGAGGGGCTATTTCAAAATAGCTGAAGTGGAGCGTCTACAGATGCCTTATTTTGAAATAGCTATTTGAAATAGGCATTATTCTTCATAGAATGAGGTTTACAGAAGTCAGAAAAAGCTCTGTTATTTCCATTATTTTCAAATAATTCTGAATTGTTGTGTATACTCTTGCATTGTTATTCTAAACAGCCATTATTCCAAAATAATTTTTCCGTGTAGACATAACCTTTGTTCTTCCCCAGCTCTGCTGTTTTCAGGACAAATTCCTTGTTAGGACCAGTCACAACCTGGGGTGAGTGGGGGGGTCCATCGTGCCTGAGATGTGTGTTGTACAGAAGCCTCTTGTTCCCTGCCCTGTTCTCAATACTGGCTGCAGACACCTGCTTAACATGAAGGTGTAGCTCAGTGGTAGCATGTTTGACTGCAGATCAAGTGGTCCTTGGCTTAAATCCAAGTGCCCCCTTGAAGAACCTTCCTTTAATTAAAACATTTACCTCTGCAGTGAGAACATAAGAATGGCCAGACCAAAGACAAAAGGTCCATCTAGCCCAGTACCCTGTGCCCCCGGGGGGGGGGGGGTGAACTGAAGACAATGATCAGCAATTTGTCTTGTGCCATCCATCTCCAGCCTTTGACAAACAGAGGCCAGGGACACTATTCTTACTCCTGGTAAGATGTTAAATCACATCCTAGATTTCTATTGTATGTGGACTCTTGAAATTAGTACAAACCCTTAACATTTTCCACCACCAATGCACATAAACCAGGCAAACCCATCCCTCAGCTGGAACCAGAACCCCCCACCCACTCCGCTCTTTGCTGCCTTTGGCTTCCCGCTGTGGGTACACCACAAAGCTCAGCTAAAAGAGGCCAACTCCAGCTACATATGGTGGGAAGAGCAGACACATTGGCCAGGCACCACTGGGGGCTGCCTCCCTCACCTCACACATATCCGGCAGGTGCCAGCTTAGCCACGGGGCCACTTTCTGGGCCTTTCTTCCTAGCTGCTCCACATGTTGTCATTGCCCATTCCAAGGGAAGGAAGAAGAGGGTAACTCCACAGCTGCAGAAGCTGCACTCTCAGGATCTCTGGCCGCTGACACCCCCCAGGGAATCACAACAGCATGTGATCTGTCCCAGTAATTGCAGTCCTGCCTTGCCAGCACCAGTCACATGCACCAGGATTTTCCTTTCCAAGGCTCCTCTCCAATCAGCCTTTTCCTGAACCAGCAGTTCTATGGGTGGCCAAGGGAGGTCTCCTCTGTGTCCCAGAAGGGCACAGGAAATAGTGAGCAAAGGCTACAACAAGGCATCACTGCAATTTGAACCCAGGATCTCCTGTTTATAGAGCAGGCACTTTAGCCAGCAGAGCCATGGTGCCCTCCTTGGTTAGGTACACATTAGTGTTTTTCCTGGATACATCTCATCCTGGAAAAACTGCCACATCCAGGGAACGGGTCCACTTTTTCAGATCAGTTTCCAAATAAGTGGGCGTGTTTGGCTATCTGGTAGACCTAAACTACAGCCTTTTTCTGTAGCCAGACTGAAGAGCAGCAGCAATTAGCTGTAAAGCCTGAAGTCACATGCTCACATTCCATCTAAATGACATTTAAATTGTGTCACACTAGGTGTGAGAAAGGGATCTTATCCTAGTGGCACCCACTGTCACCAGGTAAGAAACAGATCTCAAGATGGCTAGAGAAAACTTAGTTAACAGCATTTTTTCTGGCAAGAAACTGTTTACCAATAATTGTGGTTATGCGATCCTCATTCTATGATTATTGACCTCACTTTCCTATTTGTGTGATCTCTGTTTGGTTTGTATCTGTTTCTGTCTGCTGTATAATTAATTTTGCTAGCTGTAAATCAGCTAAGGTGGTGGGATATGATTGGTTAAGTAAATCATAATAGTATGTTATGACTGGTTAGTAAAATTATACTAAAATAATTGGTAAAGGTATAACTAAGGAGAACTCAATTTTCACTATACACACTGGGGTCCAAGAAGGAAAAGGGGAAACGAGAACAGGAACAAGAAGGGAAAGGAAGAAGAAGGAAAAGGGAAAGGAGGGAAGAAGAACCAAGAAGGAGGAGGGAAGACCTGGAAGAAGAACTCACCTCCAAGACACAGCCTAAGGGTATGTCTACACTTCAGTCCTCCCTCAAGGGAGGAATGCAAATGTAGACACCTAAAATTACAAATGAAGCAGGGATTTAAATATCCTGTGCTTCATTTGCATAATCACGTAATGGCGCTATTTTGCAACAGTGCTATTTTGCGGGAAAAAAGTTATTTTGAGAAAAACCTTCCCTCAAAATAACCCTTAAACCTCATCTTTTGAGGAGTAAGGGTTATTTCAAGGGAAGGGTTTTCTCTCAAAATAACTTTTTTTTTTTTCCAAAATAGTGCTATAATGCGATTATGGAAATGAAGCATTGGATATTTAAATCCCTGCTTCATTTGTAATTTTAGGTGTCTACATTTGCCTTCCTCCCTCAAGAGAGGAATGAAGTGTAGACATACTCTAAAGCCAAAGCAGCCAGGAATCCTCTGCACGACCATTCAAATGGTTTGCTGTTTGAGTTCTGTGTGGCAGATGACATCAGATCTGGGCACTGGGATTGTTTACTAGTTTCCCTGGGTTGATAGACTCACAGGTGGGATGACTGAGTGGTTAAGGTGTTGGACTAGAAATCTACTAGGCTTTCACTGTGCAGGTTCAAACCCTCTTCACCGTGAGGCCTGTGTTTTGGCTTCCCCCCAACAAGGGCAACAAGCTACCCAAGCCCTGACACGCTCTCCCCACGCTCCCTATCCCCAGTCAATCCCCGTCTGCTCCTGTCAGAGAGATGCTTAGTATGGTATTTCATGCTGCGTTCCTGAGGTCTCAGGTAACTCTCAGATTGTGCCCCTCACCCCATGGCTCAGCCATACCCTGGGGGTTTTGCCACCCCAGAAGCTGGGTGAGGGTCAGGGAGTGTAGGCCTGCCCCGAAGGTCCATCCCTGCAAGGAGGAAATGCTGGGGATGTGACATGGGTCACCTCTCCCCAGGCACACAGGCCCCCTGCCACTTCCCAGTTTGGGGAGCAAAGGTCTACAGAAGTAGTGGCGGGGGATGAGGGGGTGTCTTTGTTCCCTGCTCTTGCTCTGCTTCTTCCCCCAGGCCTTGGCCAAAGAGTTGGTAATGGAATATTTGTCCAAGTTTAAGTTCAGCAGAAAAAGCCCTGTGGATCCCAGAGCTGCTGCCTCAGTGACACAGCCAGGCTCCCACCAGAGAGCAAACGCCCATGGACACTGGGCAGGCACCAGTGCTCCCAACAGAGGGGAGAGGGCAGGAGGGGAACTTGGGGAGAGAAGAAGGGGCAGCAGATACAGGAGGTCTGGAGAGAGGTTCCCAGCCCCCACCCTGCCCAGACCCATTCACTGCCTTGCCTTGGGCAGATTTCTTTCCCTGACCCTTGATCCCAGGACAGTCAAAGCCCTTCCTGCCCTTACCAGTCCCAGTATGATTGCGGGGGGAGGGGGACACTGCCCTCAGGGACAATGCCGGGGAGCCCCCCAGAGTGGCAGCTTTGGAACTTCTGATCTTTTCTAGTGTCCGTCTCAGAGAGGGTGTGAAAGTGCCTGGAGGGTGCCCCATAGTGGGAGGGGCCAGGCCTGTGCTGTAACCACACAACTAAGGGTTTCCAGGCATGGCCAGAGCCTGGAGGAAATGGGGGTGTGAAATGGACCAAGACCCTTGAGAAACTACCTCGATCACAGAACCATACAATGCTAGAACTGAAAGGACTCTGAGAGATCCTCAAGCCCAGTCCCCTGCCCTCATGACAGGACAAAGCACCATGTAGACCATCCCTGACAGGTGTCTGTCTAACTTGCTCTTGAATATCTCCAGAGATGAAGATTCCACAACCTCCCTAGGCAATTTATTCCAGTGTTTCAGCATCCGGAAAGGACATTTTTCTTAATGTCCAATCTAAACCTCCCTTACTGCAGTTTAAGGCCATGGCTTCTTATGCTATCATCAGAGGCCAAGAACAAGTCTCCCCGCCCCCCGCGACACCCCTCTGCACCTGACAGGACCAAGAGCCATGTCTACCTTTTGTTCCAGATCATCCCATCTTGCAGTATACAGGGCAGGGAAATGGCTATGATGGAGCTGGCTCAGGTAGGGGAGTGCGTGTGAGTGTGTGTTTGTGAGTGTAAGTGAGAGAGTGGGGGGGGAGGGAGCCATGAACTAGGAAGGGGCTGGGATTCCTGTCGCCTCTGCAGAGCTCTGCTCCCACCTCAGCCTGTGGTTGGTAGGGGGGTGACTGAGAAGACCCTGCTCTGCTCCATCTGCTGGGAGGCCCAAGCTCTCCCCTCTCTCTCTCCTGGAGCCTCCTGGCCTCTCTGGGCAGGGTGGGATGGGATTCTGCTCATCGGGCCCTCTCCATTGTGACAAGTGGGGCCCTGGCTGGAGTGGAAGGTGCTGAGTGGCGGTCCCCTGTTATTTCAGGTGCCAGTGACCTTTGAGGAGGTGGCTGTGTATTTTACCACAGGGCAGGGGGCGCTGCTGAGCCCTGCGCAGAGAGCCCTCTACAAGGACGTCATGCAGGAGAACTATGAGACAGTGGCCTCACTGGGTAAGGATTCCTGCACCCTCAACTAGCAAAGCCTTGGGGCCAGCATTTCTACATCAGGTCAGGTTCTTCCCTGGTCAGTTTGAGAGCAGAGTGGGGCCCAAAACCCTTGTGTGAGGGACACTTTCATCCCGATGCCTCCTTCTGGGGAAATTGTCAGACACCTAAGGGACATGCTAATTCATTCGCATCGCCCCAGCTTTCAGGGACCAGAAGCAGGGAACGGTTCTGCCTACGTTATTTCTCCTACACGCACTGTTCTCCTGCCACCTTGGGACTGGCTCCATCTGTGGAGGGGTCTGGGTTCCACAGGCTTGGAAATAGGCAGGAGTTTAACCCCCAAGCTGTGTGTGTGTCAGCGAGTACCCTAGAAATCCACAGATCATTAAAACTCCTAGTGAGGGCATAACAACACTCACTGTCACCGAATGGTGAGGAGTCATTGGGACCTGAACTCCACCCCCTCCACAGCCAGGTGGTTTATTAGTTCAGAGATACAGCATAGAGCAGACTTGTTAGTACAGAAACTAGGAGCAGTCAGCACAATCCACCTTGGGGAGGAGAGGGCACAGAGCTAAGGGCCCTGCCCCCCACTTCTGCCCCTAAGCCAGCAAGACTCACTTTCACCCTGCACAGCTTGTCCCTGGCTACAGCCAGCCCCTTCTCAAACCTTTATTCAGCTTCCCAGGGAAAAGGTGTCCCCTGGTCAAATACCCCTCTCAGGCTCAGATTATTGTGAGCCTGGGCTATTGTGAATGTGCTTGCCTGGGCGTCCTCCTTCAGTGAGTCACCCCCAAATTCCCATCCCCATCTAGATAGTGGTGCAGTGCCAAGGGAAACTGAGGCACAAGCATGGAGTTACTACAGGACAATAGAAATCACATGCAACATAACAAAGCAAACAGAGTGAATACAATTACAACTTCATCACATCCCCTAGTCCTTTCCTTCCTAGAAGTCTGCTGCTCTCAAGTCCCGGTCCCATGCAGGATCAGATTAGGCTCATGGAATGTTCCTTGTGACACACACACTGCCCAGACTCCATGTGCCTTCACCTTGCCTGATTTCACCCCTGTGCAGGATTCCCCATTTCCAAACCTGACCTGCTCACCCAGCTGGAACAAGGGGAAAAGCTGTGGGTCCCAGATCTTCAGCCCTCCAAAGAAATGAGGATCTTGAGAGATATTCACACAGGTGAGAAGTCAGGGAAATTGACACACAAACATTCCAGAAGTGGAGGAAAAATCTAGTGCGTCCAAAAATGAGCATTGGGTAAAAGCCCTCACTTCCACCCCATGTCTCCCAGGTAGGGCTGCAGGTATCATCCTGCCAAATACCTGTCACAGCTCTCCAGACATCCCGTTATGTGTCAGGAGTTTTCTCCTTATGCTTACTTCCCTGGGAGTGTTTGGGTAGGATGTGGACCCACCCACAATGTGTCAGTCTCCCAAACTATTATTGCGCAGTGCTTTCTGGTTTAGGAATGTGAAGGGCTAGTTGAGTAGCTGATAAGCAAATGCTTATTGGATCATCGACAGACTAGTCACTTCCCTCACCCCTTTCCACCTCTATCACAAAGAGGCAACAAGGAGGGAAGAGAAGGGGTACTTCAAAGCGGCAGTGCCACTTAAAGTGAGAGGCCAGGCACCAGGCTCCGTGTGGCACTGCCACTTTGAAGTGCCGCCTGCAGCCCGGAGCCAGCTGGGATTTCTTCAGGCTGTAGGTGATGTTTCAAAGCAGCAGTACTGGGTGGAGCAGGGCTATTCAACATGCAGCCCATGGACCATTTGTTTGTGGCCCAGAGAGCAGTTCGGCTTTTCGTGGGGCTTAACACATGGCCCATGGGTGGGATCCTTTGCTTCCACTGGGAACACTCCACAGCAGCAAGTCAATATAATGGTTTTCTGTTTTTATGCATTTTAGTAGTTAAATTCCTGGACTGTCATCCTCATTAAAAGTGCTGTCATATAGTGGAAATTGGGACACTATTGCATTTTATTACTATCAGCAGAACTGACTTAAATGGAGCCTGAGTGTTATGTAGTCTTACCTTAATCTTTGCATTCATACCTGTCAATGTGAAAGACGCTATTTACATGTATTTGAATACATATTTGTACATATATGCAACCACACTTAAGTTGCAGCCCTCAGCATGTGCTGTGAGTATCGTTGTGGCCCGTGGGGCTTCTGCAGTTAAGTAGCCCTGCTGTAGAGCCTGGGATCAGCTGGGTTTTCCCCTTCAGATCCCGGGCTCGGAGCAGCGCTGCTGCTTTGAAACACTGCAGGGCGCCCGGCCTCACGCTCCTCACAGCGTTTCAAAGTGGTAGCACAGCACAGAGCCTCAGGTCAGTGGGGGAGTGCCCAGCTGGCCTCAGGCTCCACACTGGGCTTTCACCTTTGAAGTGTAGCGATAGCCCTAGGGCTGCGGCTACATTTCAAAGGTGGAGGTGCCTTGTTGACTAATTGAATGGTTGATGCAAAATGCAGTGACTATTCGATTAGTCAGTTAGTCGATATTTAACATCCTTATTATATCTTTGTCATTCCCTTGTTGGCCCCTTCTCCCCAGCACGGTCAGTGACTCCTGCCTGTATTCTCTCTCCCCCAGCAAGTGCTAGGACAGTGAGGAAGAACAAGGAGGAGAGTCAACAGCAGGAAGGGCATGGCACAGTAGAATCACAGGGAACACTTTTGGAAGGAGCTGAATGGGATTATTCCCAGTATGTACAACAGGGGAAAGCCTGGGAAAATCAACACAAGGAAGAGAGGCACTTGAGGAACAATTCAGGCAGGAAAGTGGAGGAACCCATTAAATGTGGTCTGTGAGGAAGAACAAGGAGGAGAGTCAACAGCAGGAAGGGCATGGCACAGTAGAATCACAGGGAACACTTTTGGAAGGAGCTGAATGGGATTATTCCCAGTATGTACAACAGGGGAAAGCCTGGGAAAATCAACACAAGGAAGAGAGGCACTTGAGGAACAATTCAGGCAGGAAAGTGGAGGAACCCATTAAATGTGGTCTTAGGGGCGCCCCCCCCCCCCCCCCCCTTGCAGTTTTTTTTTTAAATGGGTTTCATGGCCAAATAAAACTGGGAAACACAGGACTAGACTATTACATCTCTAGTCAATGGAAATTCACAGGCAGGAATGGCAGGTACCAGACATCTGGGCCTGGGTGCAGCTGTTGTTAGTGCCTGCAGAGACCCTTTTGCCAATGTGCTGAGTTCCTGGAAGGAGGGTGCAGTCTCAGAGTCCATTCCTGCCTCCAGTAGATTCTGTGCAGGTTGAAAGGACTCCAAATGGAAGGCCTGACTGGCCACAAGAGGGAGGTTGGGAAACCACACAAAGGCTGCAGAGGTGGAGTTGAGCTGTAGCAACACTCACAAGCACCGGAGATGCAGCACAGGATCAGCCTGCACTGCCCTGGCCAGCTGTGGGAATGACAGCTGTTAGGGCCCATCCAGGCACAGGCAGTTGGGATCAGAAGTGTGAAGGATAGAAGCATGAAGCATCCAGCCATGGGTTCATTTTCCTGCTCAGACAACTTCCTCTGCCTCCTTCTGGCCCAAGTAGAGCATAAATTAATGGAGATTGCCTATCTCCTAGAACTGGAAGGGACCTTGAAAGGTCATCAAAGTCCAGTCCCCTGCCTTCACAGCAGAACCAAATACTATCCCTGATGAATTTTTGCCCCAAATGGCCTCCACAAGGATTGAACTCACAACACTGGGTTTAGCAGGCCAATGCTCAAACCACTGAGCTATCCCTCCCCCCGTTTTAGACAAAGAGAGCTTTTAGAGCATTTGAGACAAAGAGCAGGGGAAGCCCAATCCCCCAGCCAGAAGCTTTGTGGACAGAGCCCTTAGGGAGCTAGAGCTCTGCTGGGTCCTTTTTCTCCAAGTCCTAGTGACTTGCCACATGGCAGCTGCAATCTGAACCCTGCCTGGGGACCTTGGTGTTAAACATGCCAGTTCTCCCTACAGCTCCCCTTCTGAGTAGTGTATTCCGGTTCTGCCCTGGGGTGGGGTGTGTAGAATGGGCTGGGAAGGAGATTAACTTCTAGAGAGTGTAGCTGAGTGTTCAGCTCCCTTGGGAAATCAGCCAGGCCATTTCTGAGGGAGAGGGGATGCACCTTTACTGCAGGTGAGTGTGTCCTGGGATCTTGTACCAGCCAGAGCCCAGTCCCTGCAAGATGGGGAAGGAGCCTCTCTGGGTGGGTGATGCAGAGCCTGACTCTGGAAGCAGTAATGGCACAGACCTAAATGAACAAGAACAACTCTTTTAATTGCTCTCCAAACTGGATTTCCAGTCTCCGACGCTCATATGATCTCCTGGGAGGAAATGCAGATCCCAGATCTCCAGGGCTGTGAGAAAGGAGAGATCATCAGTGACACCCACACAGGTGAGCAGTCAGCTAAACTGACTCAAACTAATTTCAGTGTCCTCGTAGCAGATATCATTTGTGCATTTTCATCAATTCTGACTGACCCTTCTGCCTGTCTTGAACACCAGTCTGAGGTTCTGGGTGGGGGAAGGATTATGGTGAAGGGGGGGAACTCAGCTCATGATTATTAAATCTTTCCAGACATTCCTTGGGCATGCTTCTCCTTTTCTATTTCTGTTTTAGAGTTTCCTTTCACCTCAGCACAAGGAATGACTCCTGTCTGGATTCTCTGTCCCAGCAGGTGATGAGGCCCCGAGTGAGAACCATGAAAAGAGTCTTCAGCAAGAAAGACGGGAGCAAATGGCTCCATGCAGGATGTTATTGGGAAAATCTGAAGGGTATGTTTCTCAGAGTCCTGAGCAGGGATTGACCTGTGAGAGCCAGCGTAGCCAACAAAAGCAGCAGGGAAACCATCCAGGAGAGGGACAGGGTAAATCCAGCCACAGAAGCAGAGGGGTGAAAACAAACACAGAAACTATTAATCAGAAAATCCTCCATCAACAGTCACCCTGTGCTTCCAGTAACTGTGCAACTCTTAGTAAACGTGGAAGAGCCCACACAGGAGACACACCCTTCAGCTGCTCTGAGTGTGGAAAATGCTTCAGTCATAGGGCATATCTTGTTAGACATAGGAGAACCCACACAGGAGAGAAACCCTTCAGCTGCTCTGACTGTGGGAAAAGCTTCAGTGAGAGTTCAAGCCTTGTTGCACATAGGAGAACCCACACAGGGGAGAAACCCTTCAGCTGCTCTGACTGTGGGAAAAGCTTCAGTGAGAGTTCACGCCTTGTTGTACATAGGAGAAGCCACACAGGGGAGAAACCTTTCAGTTGCTCTGACTGTGGAAAATGCTTCAGTCGCAGCTCAAACCTTGCTATACATAGGAGAGCGCACACAGGGGAGAAACCTTTCAGTTGCTCTGAGTGTGGGAAAAGTTTCAGAAGGAGCTCAGATGTTCTTAGTCATAGGAGAACCCATACAGGAGAGAAACCCTTCAGCTGCTCTGACTGTGGGAAAAGCTTCAGTGAGAGTTCACGCCTTGTTGTACATAGGAGAACCCACACAGGGGAGAAACCTTTCAGTTGCTCTGAGTGTGGGAAAAGTTTCAGAAGGAGCTCAGATGTTCTTAGTCATAGGAGAACCCACACAGGGGAGAAACCTTTCAGTTGCTCTGAGTGTGGGAAAAGTTTCAGAAGGAGCTCAGATGTTCTTAGTCATAGGAGAACCCACACAGGAGAGAAACCCTTCAGTTGCGCTGACTGTGGAAAATGCTTCAGTCAGAGGTCACACCTTGTTAGCCATAGGAGAGCCCACACAGGAGAGAAATCCTTCAGCTGTTCTGACTGTGGGAAAAGCTTCAGTGAGAGTTCAAGCCTTGTTGCACATAGGAGAACCCACACAGGGGAGAAACCTTTCAGTTGCTCTGACTGTGGAAAATGCTTCATTCAGAGGTCAGCCATTATTAAACATATGAGAGCCCACACAGGAGAGAAACCTTTCAGTTGCTCTGTGTGTGGAAAATGCTTCAGTTGCAGCTCAAACCTTGTTAGACATTGGAGAGCCCACACAGGAGAGAAATCCTTCAGCTGTTCTGACTGTGGGAAAAGCTTCAGTAGGAGCTCACATCTTCTTATCCACAGGAGAACCCACACAGGGGAGAAACCCTTTAACTGCTCGGACTGTGGGAAAAGCTTCAGTGAAAGTTCAAGTCTTCTTACACATAGGAGAACCCACACAGGAGAGAAACCCTTCAGCTGCTCTGACTGTTGTAAAAGCTTCAGAAGGAGCTCAGATCTTCTTAGTCATAGGAGAACCCACACAGGAGAGAAACCCTTCAGTTGCTCTGACTGTGGAAAATGCTTCAGTCAGAGGTCACACCTTGTTAGCCATAGGAGAGCCCACACAGGAGAGAAACCCTTTAACTCCTCTGACTGTGGGAAAAGCTTCAGTGAGAGTTGAAGCCTTGTTGCACATAGGAGAACCCCTATAATAAAGGTGGGCAAAAGCCTCTTAATGGGTAGAATCCAGCTTGCGTAGGGCTTTGATTTTGACTGTGAGGGAGTGCTATACCCTGTCCCTTCACTGGCATGTGCTGTAAGGGAAGGAACTCAGCCCCACTACTCTTCTCATCCTGCAGCCACTGGAGAGGAGGCAGCCCTGAGGCTGTACCACATGGACTGGCTAGAGACACTGCTGTCACTGCACCTCTGGCTTCCCAGGCTGGCTCATGGCCACATCCATAGAATCTTGTGCCACTAGGGCCACGTGGCCATGCCAGGGATGCCTCTGGGGCCAGTTGTGGGCTGTGTGCCTATGGCAGTGGTGTCTCCAGCCCCGGTCCATATGGCTGCAGCAGCAGTGCATCTGAGGCTGACGCACAGCTGCATGGCTGCAGCAGTGGTGCCTCTGGGGCCAGTCCTGGACTGCTTGGCTGTTGCAGCAGCAGAACCTGCCTCCAGACTGTCTGGGACAGTGTGGCTGCAGATGTTGTTGCAAAGGGGCACGAAGCCAGGTAATCACCCTCTGCTCGAGACCCTCCATCCCCTCACTTCCCTCCTCCCCAGAACCTCCAGCTTGCTCTGACACACTCCCTTGTTCTTGCACCCTCTCTGCTTGGCACACACTGCCCGTTCCCTTGTTCCTGCTCCCTCCACCTGGCCAGATACCGTACTCCCAGCCTGCTTCTTCACCACAGCTCCCTTCCAGATTCTGCATCCCATTCCTATCCTGTTGGCAGCCCTGCCTCACACTGTAACCTTCATTTTTGTCCCTACCCCAGAGCCTAAGGAGGTCCATAAGGTTCACTAACTCTAGAATTACAGAAAAGGAAATCTGATCCATCAGAAGTTTTTAACCTCAGTTTTCCCCCCTTTGCTTCCCCTCACCCGATGAGGCTGGGGCAGCAGAGAATGGAGGGAGGTTGGAGGAGTTTCTATACTTCTCACTTGTGTGGTCCCCAATGAATTTTTTTGTGGGTCAGTGACCCCTGATCCAAAAATGGTTCTCCACTGCTGCCTTAAATAAAGAAAATAATGGAATCTTTTGTGTTGGGCATAATTTTTTACTTTATTTAAAATGAAGTTTGACAAAGTAATGAGAGAATCAAAATGCTTAATCTGTTTTATAATTAAACTGTCCTGCACAGCTGCAGCATTAGCAGCATGGCTTAGGTGTAATTATATAATTAATGGTAAGTGTCCATTAGCAACTGGCAGTCCATGGAAAGGACCCATGTTGTACACAGGGCATACAGTGGAGAGAGCTCCTCCCCTCTCCCAGGAGAGTGGCACAGCTCAGGGAAGGAGAGTTAAATCTTTGCACACCCCTTAGGAATGGTTGCTGACCCCTGTTCTAGTTCTTCTAAACAACTGGCTGAGCAATCCCTAGGCAGGGCTGTTGTCTATAGCTCATTGGAGGTAACTTTATTCTGATCAGTCTTGGTGTGAAACTCCTGACTGAAGGTTAGTTTCAGAATCAGGGCTCCTGGGTCCTGTTCCCAGCATTGTCCCAGACTGGCTGTGTGATGTCAGATAAGGCCCTTTACCTTTCTCAGCCTTTGTCCCTCCCTCTGTCCGTTGATTGTAACCCTTCTCTCCTGTGCAAAAACCATCCATACTACATGCACATATTTGCATGAGAGGCCTTTTTTCATAAGACTTATTCCTCTTTCTATGAGGAATTCCACTGCAAAATCCTACCTCAATGCCTAAACATGGCGCAGCGGTGACCCTGGCTATCTGACAGCTATGGTAGTGGGGCATATGCCCTGATAGGTTTAACCATGCTACAAAGGTGTTGGACCATCCAATCCAGGGAGAGGGATTGCTCTCTCAGAGGAAAGAGCACTTTTCCTTCTCCTTACAGGTTGAAGGCTAGCTAAGCTTGAGGAGGTACACATGCCTACCCACCTAGCCACTGGGATGGCCTGAAGTCAACAGCTAAAACAACATGAGTAAATGGGTCTTAGTTCCCTGAGTGTCATCGAACCATTCTATGGTGGTGGAGCAGAAATTGACTGATGAGAGGCTGACAAAAATGTTAGGTGCTAGGCCAACATGGAAAAGGACAACCCTTGCTGTGTGTACTTACAATTGTAGGTCACTGGCAAGGGAGGAAACGTTAAATCATCTGATAGAAGAGAAGAAAAGGATAAGATGCGACATCTTCGGTGTCTATGAAACTCGACGAAAGAAGGAGTTGGAAGTCAACTGGAAGGATGGAAGTGCTGTGAGGCTCAGAAAGGGAGGTAGTGATAGAAACATTGGAGGAGTCGGATTTATCATCCATAAGGATTGGTCTTCGAAAGTCATATCATGCCAGTTAATATCATCATGTGTCGGTGTGCTGCATCTTCAGATGGAGTCAAAAGCTACCCTCAAGGTCATCCAGGTTTATGCTTCCACAAGTGCAAGTGAGGACAAAGAAGTGGAAGAATTCTACCAAGAGCTCGAAAGAGCTCTCATGCAAAAGTCTACTTACACTGTCATGATGGGAGATTTTAACGCCAAGGTCGGGTGAGGGAAAGCTGGTGAAAAGTTCATAGGGAGATACAGCTGTGGCAAAAAGAATGAAAGAGGAGAAAGACTGGTAGCGATGGCAGAAATGAACAAACTGTACACGGCAAACACCTGGTACAAAAAAACCCCCCCACAAGAACGTGGGCACTGACGAAGAGAGAAGAGCACAAGTTATGTTGGGAATTTCCCTTCTGGATCATATTCTAAATGAAATTTTGGGGCAACATCTGCTCCACTGAGCCTCTGAGGTGGGAGTGGTGAGGGGATTTGACAGGGGCCTGGCCCTACTTTCCTGCCACCTTCTCATGCTGGTCACAAGGCGTCCGCAGCTGCCCATGTGCTGGTGGGTGAGGCCTTCACTCAGTGTTTGGCAGCCAGGGCGGGGAGCAGCCTGGTCGGGTGTGTCTGTGGCTCTGCAGCCATGTATAGACCTGGCCCTGCCCCCCTCTTCCCTTGCCTCAGTTGCTGTGTGGCTTCTGAGCCTTCCCTTGGAGCTGTCAGTACCAGCCCTCCCTGCTCAAGGTGCCTAGGGGAAGAAAGGGAGCTGGGCTCCAGCCTAGTGCTCTTTCTGCTTCCCCCTGACTCCAGCCTGGCCCTTGGCCTCTTTTCTGCCATCCCCATGGGGACCAGGGGAAAAGCAGGAGGTGGGTGCAAGGGCCACACTCGTGGGCATCAGGTGGTGCCACAAGAAATGTTCCTTGTCGGCCTGGCTGGAACATGGAGCCACTTGAGTATGCTGTTAGCACCAATGTGCCCCACTGGCCAGTCTGAGCGGAGAGCCAGGGACAGTCCCTGCAAACCTGGGATCATTGGCCAAGGCTGCTGCTCTTGTGTCTGTGCTGGGATTCCCTCTGATAACCACTCCATCACAGAACCACCCTTAATGCCTTCTCCTGCTGTACTTAAACTTGGACAAATATGCTGGCCCCCTGCCACTTTCCCAGTGTTGGGAGTAAAGGTCTAGAGAAGTAGCGGTGGGTAATGGGTCTCATTCCCTGCTCTTCCTCTTCCCCAAATGCCTTGGCCAAAGAGTAATACAATATTTATCCAAGTTTAAGTACAGCAAGAGAAGCACTAAAATGTGTTTCTGTGGTGTAGTGGTTCTCATGTTTGCCTAACATAGGAAAGGTCCTTGGTTCAAAACCAGGCAGAAAAACAATGTCTTCTCTTATTGCTCCTGCCCAGGTAAGCCCAGCTCCTGCTGCCTGACCTGTGTGTGGGATGATCCCAACTCCCACATAACAGAGAGTGGTGACATCAGCTTAGAATGCCCCTTGGTGCCAGCCTGGGGAAGGGAGATGAATCAGGCCAGGCACCTGTTGGAGGCTTGTGGCTTGGCCTTCCCTGCCCTCAGAGGCTTGTGTATGGGGCTGACTCCTTCTGCTGCCTCCCTTGTGTGATTGGCCCAAGGAGGATGTGAGGCAGGACTTTTACTGATGTGGCCTTGGTTCAAGTCCCATTTGGGGGAAAACAGTCTTGTCTGTTTTCTTGAAAGCCTTCTTTAGAGTGTAGACATAGCAAAAACCTGCATTCCCTTTCCTTTCCCCCAGCAACTGTTGTGCTACAAAGAAGAGATAGGAGAGGTCAGGCTGCCTAACATGAAAGGTTCTGTGGTGTGATGGAAAGTGTGTTGGACTGCTAAGCTGTGTGGCCTGTCAAAAGTTGTGGGTTCAAATCCCTCCCCACAGACCCATTTCAGCTACCTGAGCTGCTTTTACAAAAGAAGCTGGCCTTGTGTGTGGACAAAAAGGTCTAGAACTATGGAAGAAGCACAGGGCTGGCCACCAGGAGCTACAAGTCTGTACCCCACAGGAAAATGGGTGTGCAACCTCCACCTCACACAGGCAAGTGAAAACTGAGGTGAGAAAAAGAAAGTCTTTGCACCTTTCCTGTCCCCTGGTCCTGCTGGGCTCTGATTGCATCCAGCCTGAGCTAAGCTCAGGGACCATGCAGATGACCTGCTGCACAGCTATGATGCCATCAGATCCCTCCCACTGGTCCGCTCAGTCACTCAGTACATGCCAGGGAGCCAAGTGATTGTGCCTTTGAGTGGCACTCTCTGCCAGCCAATCAGCTTCATGAGGAGGGGCAAAGGGCCACTTGAGCTAATTCCACTGTTTGTGCGGATGTGTCCCACCCAGAGGTAGAGGTGGAGATGGCCAGGAGCCTGTTACAAATCTGCCTGGTGCACATTCCTACCTTCCTTTGTGAACACAACATACATCGGGGCTTGAATTAATGGCCACCTTCCTTTGTCACAGATCATTGATCCTTGTGACTTTCAGGTAACTTCGTACAGCAGCTGTTTAAACATAATGTGCTTCAGCCCTGTCTCCAGCTTGGCTTTCCTCCTCTGCCTCATTCCTGCCTCTTGACTTCCTTGGGCAACTAAAATAAGTGAGGCAGCAGGAAGAGCCCACCCCCACCCAGGGGAAGAAAGTGTTCTGACTCATCGTATTTCCCCAGGCTGGCCCCAAGGTGCATTCTCAGCTGATGTCACTCCCCTCTGTCACATGGGATTTGGGATCATCCCAGGCACAGGCCTGGCAGCAGGAACTGCACTTACCTGGCCACCGAGAAGACACTGTTTCCACTTAGCTTTGAGCCAGGGACTTTTTGCATGTTCGGTAAATGTGATAAGCACTACACCACAGAAACACCCTTAATGCCTTCTGCTGTACTTAAAAGTGGACAAATAATATGTTACTAACTCTTTGGAGGGCTTGGGGGAAGAGGAAGAGCAAGACACCTTCCCCCCCTCCCACCCTTCTCTAGACCTTCACTCCCAACACTGGGAAGGTGACAGGGGCCCATGTGCCTGGGGAGGGGTCACCCATGTCACAACCCCAGCATTTCCCCCCTGCAGGGATGATCCTTTGGGACAGGCATAGATTCCCCACCCTCTCACCCAGCTCCTCTCATATTCTAGGGTGGAGCAGCCCACAGGAGTAGAGCTGAGCCTTGGGGTACTGGGCCAGAGGCAGGGGTTGTGGGAGCTGAGAGTTTGCCTCAGACCTCAGGGACCCAGCATGAGGCACCATCCCAGGCATCTCTCTGACAGGAACAGAAGGGGATTGACAGGGAGTGTGTCTCAGAGGTTGTGTAGCTTGTTGCCCTGGTTAGCTGCTGCCAGTGGCCCTGCAGGACAAGATGAGCTTTGCCTGCTCCCATCAGCCGGAATCTCTGCCCCATTTCCTGCCTTCCTTCCCAGGCTGACCCAGTGACCAAAATGGACTGAGGCTGGGAAGAAGATGAGTGGAGGGCCCAGTCACCTCTTTACTGTTTGACTCCTGATCCTGGTATGACATGCTCCTCACCAAGCACTTAGGATATGTCTAGACTGCAGCCCTTTTTCAATAAAGGGATGTAAATGAGATATATGGATATTGCACATGAAGTGGGGATTTGTATTTCCAGTGCTTCATTTGTATAACGGCAGCCACTGGTTTTTTTTAAATGGGTCTTTTTTGGAAAAAAGCGGCAGTTTTGCCGTAGATCTTTTGAAAATAAAAGACTT